GTGTGTGTGGGTGTGTGTGTTGGTTAGAAGGATGTGCGGCTCGCCCTCTCTTCTAGTTACCCCTAGCCGTGCTGACAGCTGCCTGGGGGCATGGCACTGAGGCGTAGGCAGCTGTCATTTATATTTCAGTGCCACTCCGAGTTATTCAATCAGCCCATTTACCCAGCCAGCGGACGGGCGGACAGACTCAATTCCTTTGCTGTGGTCAGCCCTCTCGGTAAATGGCCAACCAGCTGAACAGAGGCAAATGGCCAAAAATTAGTGCAGACATAAATCAAACTAAACTGAAAAGAAGGACTTGGCCTTATCATACAGACAGATAGATAAATACATACACATATATGTATACATATACACAATAGATATCGTGATATTGTGGCCATGTTAATGATGCAAATTATTGTACAAGTTAATGCGAATTTATGGCTGCAGTCGGCAACGATTTACCAAATTAACCTGCATATTTTACAGCTCATTTAAAATGAGACCGCAAAACGTTTCGACACTGAATAATTTATGTTAATACCAATCACAGACGCAATACAAAATGAATTATATTTCGCACACACATACACAAGTATGTGTGTGTAGGTGTGAACACATTAGCATACAAATCGGGCAACTTAAAAGATACTTAAGTCAACGTTGGGGCCATGCTCGACGTTCGCCAGGCATTTATTCAAGATAAATAATGCATAGGTAATAAATTTTCATAAATAATATGGCTTTTCGGCAAAAAGGGTTTTGCGTGGGCAAAACACAAACGGAAATTTTGTTTGCTTGCTGCGAAAATTGCAAATGAAAATGAAGTTCGACTCAAATGGGATTTTAATTCAAATTTATATAAAATATTACAATTGCCACTTCATATTAATCATTTTTAAGTGGAAATCCAAATGCACACAGAATATATTTGGGAAAACCTTAAGAATTTATAAGGACAGAAGAATCCAATTCCTTTTAAAACTATATACAAAAAGTTTGCAATTATAAGCATATATAAAATATCTCATCATCATATTTATCATTTCTATAAAAACCAAATTTTTATTTTACATTACTGTGATGAGACTCGAATAAAAAAAAATAATAATAATTCACATAATTTGATTACACAATTCCGACATCATATCAAGTGGCTTTTTATTTTGTATGTTCAGTTTAATTACGAACTGTTTTT